TGAAATTGTTCATGGGTTTTTGACTCGGCTCGTTATTAAGAAATCTTCCGTTCAGGTTCCAGCCTCATCACATAAAAGAGATGAAAAGCTTATAGCGGTTTAAGAATGAAGAAGACTTTCTCCTTACAAGAATTTAAACAGGCATTAAAGAATAATGTTAAGAGGATTCTTTTTTTTTCTTTTTTCGTATAAGATTTTATTATTTCACTTTGGATATTGATGTTAATTAAAACTTAATGAACGTTAACTTTCAGATTTTATTCTAATTAAAGACAAAAAGTCGTTTAAAATCAATCTTTAAAGTTAAGAAAATATTTAGAAAAAACTACGTTTTTCAAATCGAGTGAAAAGGATAATATTTAATTTTTCTAGTTGTAAAGCGAAAAACATAAAAAGCATCTTTTTTAGAAAGACTTGGTAGAAATTATTGGTGTAGAATATTTGCTTGGTAAATTAGTAATTATATCAGTGAATTAGTGACGTAATTAATAATTTAGTTTTTAATGGTTTAGTTCGCTAGACTAATGTTTCTAAATGATTGACTATAGGTGATAAATAAAGTTTACATGGTGCGTAGCGTTTTTAAAAAGTGCTTAAAGGTGTTTATTTTCGATTTTTGTTTTTTAAAAGCCCTTAAAGGTGTTTTTTTCATTGGATGTTTTTAAAAAGTGCTTAATTTTTCCTTTTCGAAAATAAGGTTTTTTCTTTACCATGTCGATTTTTGCCACGTATTATGCAAAAGCCTGCTTTTCACATTGTTCTATTCAACGTTTTCGCAATTCATTTAACTACAATCTATTTCGGCTTACCGTCGTCCATAGCGTATGAAAGCACCGATCATTTTACTTGTTTGATGAAATACTTGCGAGTCCGCATGTGCGTCTACTGAGCCGTGTTCGGTGAGATTCTAGCACTCTTACGTGCTGCATTTTGCTCGATATTCTCAATTTCAGGCCTCATTTTCCAGCTTCTGATATCGACCCGGAAAATCTCTCCTGCATTTTAAATGGCTAATTTAATCAAGAAAAGAGTTCTTTTTCAGAAACTAGTCATTTTATCATGATCATGTGAAATCTTTGAAAGCTATTTTGCATTTTGTTAATGTATATAGTGCTGAAAAATATTTTTTGAATTCTTAAGAAGTACTTAAAAGGTGCTTATATTTTGCTGAAAAATGTGGCTACGCACCCTGGTTTAGATTACAATTTGTATTAAACTGCTGTCGAAATTATAATATATTACAAAAATGTGCAAACTTAACAAAATATGTATTGTTATTAGAATTTTAGACTGTAACAGATTTACGTGTTTCTTTTTTTTTATATAAATATATATATATTTTAAATTTACGTAACCTATAAACCAAGATCCGAGATAAATATCTGGTATATTTAATATTAGTAGTCTTACTGTTAGTGCTCTTGATAATAATTAATCAAGTAGTTTTCTAGACCTACTATACTTTCTAGAAAGGCTCGAAATAGCTTTTATTTTCAGATCACATTTTGCATTAACATTATTAGTTTACTATTTTCATTATTGGATTATTACTGGATTATGTATGATACAAATATGTACGATACTAAATAATGTAAAGTTTTTATTGCAATTTATGCATTATTATTTAAATATGTTAAATGAAAAAGTTAAATAGCTCCATAAAAAAGCTGCAATTCAAAATAGGAATAAATTCAAGAAGATTTTGATTTTTTATACCTTACATAAATTCCATATTTTGAATTATACGTTTTTCTAAATATTTAAAAGAAATATTAATTAAAAAAATTATAATGTATAAGCATAAATTTATGTTAGTTCAAAAAAACTTATTTTTTTTAAGGTTTGAAATGAGCATTGGTGATATTAAATGTAATTTGATTGAGAAGTTTCCTAGGAACAAAGAAAACGAAATTGTCCGATTATAAATTATATTGTTAACTGTTTAAAATAAAATAGCTGTCACGCAAAACTATGGTAAAATTAATAATTGTGTAGTATGCGTACAAAAGTGTTATGTATAGAATTTGATCATGCTTAACATTTCACAGTTTTGTGAACTTAGTAAAACAGAACACGTGTGCGAAAAGATATAAAAAAAATATTATGTATCAAATTTAATTATGCTTTAACTATTAAAGATTTTTTTAAACTGTGTAAAATAATATATGTAAGTAAAGAACTACTACTAAAATTATTATCTAGTTATAATACAAATAATTTTATTTTATATAAAATTTGACCATTCTTTATACAACGCAGATCTGTGAACTATGTAAAACAAAATTTGTGTGTGTAAAAAAATAATGGTAAAATTGACAGATAGTTTTAATATAATTATTTCTATTTCTGAGGATTAGGACTTTTACTTAAATTTTTACAGGACTTTTACTTGTTTTGCACAATGCATTTACTACGGAACACTCTTAGTTCCGTACAGAGCTTGCGCAGAACAAACTTATACGAATGCGAGGCATGCTAGGTGGAAGCTCTAAGTCTCTCAAGTAATTAAGTTTGCTTTTAGTATTTATAATTGCATGTGTTTGTGCGAAATGACAAACGATATGTTGCGTGACAGCTCTTCATCTCTCAGTTGTCAATAAAGTTTGCTTGTCTTGAAAATGGTATAGATTTGTGAGAAATGTCAAAAGGTGTGCTTAAGTTTAAAATTGTATAGATTTGTGAGAAGTTTAAAACGAGATGCTACGTGACAGCTCTTAATTGTCTTCTTTCCATTTAAGTTTTCTTGTATTTTGTAAAATTGTATAGATTTGTGAGAAGTGCAAAATTGAATGCAAAGTGAAAACGCTAAATCCTTCAATTGTCTATAAAGTTTGCTTGTATTCAAACGTTTATGAACTTGTGAGAAGCGTAAAACGGTTTGCTTGTGTTAAGCCTTGTATAGATTTGTGAGAAGTGTAAAACCGGATGCTACGCGACAGCTTTTAATTTCTCAATCATCTACAAAGTTTGTTTGTATTTAAAATTTTATGGATTTGTGAGAAATATATAACGGAAGGCTGTGTGAAACTGCTAAAGATCTTTATTGTCTACCATTGCTTGCATTTGTAAGAACTGTAAAATAGGATACTACGTGAATGACGCTAAATCTTTTAATTATCGACCAAGTTAGATTGTATTTAAATTTGCATGGATTTGTGAGAAGTGTAAAGCTGTATTTTGCGTAAAAGTGCTAAATGTCTCAATTATCTATGATGTTTATTCATATTTGAACTATATGGATTAGTGAACTGTGTAAAATTGCCGATGCGTAAAAACTTTCGCAAAACTAATAGCTAATTGTAACACAAATAATTAGCATCCTGCAAGTTCACGTTCTTATGTTCAGCACAGCACAGAAATTACTGAACAATGTTGGTGCTCTGCAGAATTTACCCAACACATGTGTTTGTGGCCGCGCGGGATGAAACGTGAAATGGCTTCAGACCTTTATTATCTATTCAGTTTTCTGTAAAATACTGTCTGTAATACTGTACAACTGTATGGATTTGTTAATAGAATAAACTAGAATAGATGGGTAAAACTGCTATCGTCAAATTAACAGTGAGATATAATCTGTTATCATGTTTTCTTAGTTGGGAACGTGTAAAAGAAGCTTCAAATCAATGATTTTATACATCATCGTTATTAGAGTTGTAACGAATGAAGACCTAAGTACGCGGGTGGTCGCATTGCATGTAGCAAATATAATTGAAGACAAAACTTTGCGAATCTTTCAAATGTCATGCATGACATTAATCGCAATCGTTAATTTCTTTGCGTCAAGCGACATTGAAATTAGATGAAAACGGGAAATATGCAAGTAATCACTTCCGTAATATCCGACGAACCTTGAAATTATTTTTTCTTATCCCTGGAAGATGTGATCGCTTGAAAAATTCCATCCGCCACCACACTGTTTATCCTTGTTCGACGATAAAAAATCCCGAACCATCTCCTTTATTATTTCAAACACCCACCAAAAGGGAATTTAGGGGAAGAAGAAAAGGAGGGGAAGATGCGTAACAAAATAAAAACCTGAACCTGAAGAAGATGCAGACTCCGAAGAGCTAATAACAACAAACAAGAAGACGAAGAAAGCGTGAAAAAAGAAGAACAACAACAAAAGAAGAAAGTTTTCTCTATGATGATCTGTTTGGATGGTAATAAGCATTTGAGTAAGCTGACGCATTAACTTCTAACGGTACTTCTTCAGCAAATCCGAAAACTAGTTGGGATGGAGAGATAGAAGTGGTCCAACAACTCTGGTGGAAAGCCACCGGTTTTTGGTCATGGTGTAAGTTCTCTACACACACCTGAAGGAGGGTAGGACAGGTTCGCTCCGCGCTGGTTCTACCTGGTTCGTTGACCTACCAGGTAAACAGGATCGGAATCGACACTTGCCGGTTGGTTCTCAACAGAGAAAGTTGCCCCCAAACTTTCCTCTCGTATTCCAAAACGTCCCGTGCGGGGATCGGCGTTTCCGCGCTCTTGTTGTTTGATGGTCGGTGCGTTTTTTGATGGTCAAGACTACGGCGAGAAGATCGTTTCCTGGATATCTTTTTGTCTGCTTGTCCTTCAATATTTTTTTCCGGAGAAAGTAATTTTTGGTTTTTGAAGTGTTCTGCATGTCGTCTTCAAGATATTGCATTTCTTATTTTGGAATCTGTAATCGCTTTCTGAGGTCAATGACCCCGGGTCCCCCATAGCTGGAGTTTAACTCCAGAACTGATTTGAAGCGAATGAACTTGAATAGTTGGCAGTAAATCAGAGACTGTGCCTTCATCTATATTTCAAGGTAATGAAAATTAATTTTGCGTACGCTGTCCAATTATCATCAGAACACTACAAAATCTGTGCAGTTTTCGAGTACCTGCAACGTGTACACAGAGTTCAATAGTCTGGGTAAGATTATTTTTAGAACTTTTAAGTGATTCAAGTTTGATAGAAATTTATATTTTTACAAGAATTATTTTTGAAAATTTTTCTTTTACTAAATCGATCATTCCTCTTGAAAATTTTTTTTTTTTGTAACAACTTTTAAGCATTCCCTTTTACGCAATTGTTGACTGTTTCCAGAACCAGACTTTGAAAGTGCCTTATTCTTAAACCGAACATTGTGATATTTTAAGCTTGAATTTGAAATATTTTAGTACAAGTTTTACTTGAAAGCGGTAGAGGAAAGAAATTCATGAATGTTGTTTGTTCCACCTGTATTATCTAACACCCCTAATCGCTATGTCGCACCATCGGTGATTGCTGGAGGTTTCAAACACTCCGTAAAAAATTCTTGACATAGGACAAACTATACATTGATATGGACGTTTTTATTAAAGTGGAAGAATGTGGGTCTGCGGAAGATTTCACATCTTCAGTGACTTCGACTGTGGTCAGCCCCCTGGGCCACCCCCATGATGATCAAATGGCGGACTTGGGCTTTGACCCAGCCTCTTCAACAGATTTTGGTATCGGACTGTTTGACGACAAAAAGACATTTTTTGATCCTCTTGCTCCAATGGCCGAGCCGGTCAGTACCTTCCATCACAATATAAAAAAGGACTATAACTACGAACCGGTGGTGACTAATATTCGGCCTGCAGCAGTTGTTAGTAGTGGGGACGATATGAGTTATATCACATCGCCAGTGGTGACCAGTGGATCACCGGACTTGATGGGACGTAGTCCCCCACCATTTTCCCCTAACAGTAGTGGACACTCTTATCCAGGCATAACACTTCTCTATGAACAAAAAGGAGTTGAGAGTTCAACAACCCCTCAACGTAAATATGTGGCGCAGAAAGGATATTCACCATCTAAATCTTCAAGTTCTTCATCTGGTAAGTTATTATCAGTCTTAAATATACCTTATCTGAGTCAGTGTATACAGTATTAGGTGAATATTGACATATTATTTATGAAATTCGATATTTTGGTATATCACGTGTTTTGGAGTTAATTCTCAAAATTAAATTAGTTGAGTTAATTAAATTAGATCGTAATTTAAAAATGCATGTTAATGGTAGTTGCTGATTACAGTAAAACCGTACTGACTAATTCCTTTAAGTGTTGCATATTTAAAACAGTGAATTTCGCTATACTTTGTTAATAATATGAAAGTGGTTTTTGGTATAACATGACTTATTTCCTTACTCATTTAAATTTTTTTTTTAATAAATAATTTTAAGTCATTTTTTCTTGGATTATATCAAGTCAGTACTATTTTTATTTGGTGAATATTGGTTATTTATTGGTGAATGTTGAATCGGCTATTTCCGTTCAAGTTTTTTTTTTTTTCAATGCTGATGAAACTAATGAAATTAATATGGTTTCCAAAGTGCTTTCTTAGAATAGCTTTCTTAATATTCAACGGAGATTATTTTTGATTTTCCCCATAAAAATTTAGTTAATTTTAAAAAAAGGTTGTATTTTAACATAACTTTTGAAAAGGTTCACCTGTAAAAAAAAATAATTTAAATTTTGTAAAATAAAACATTTTAAATTTCTTTTAAAGGAATTGTATTGAAAAGATGTAAAAAAAAATATATTGACTAACATAACTGCGTTATTGTTAAAAGGATTAGGTGTTTTTTAAGCCTAGTTAAAAATAACGTAGATGTGATCTAGTAAATTGAAAATTAATTTTTATTTGTGCAACAAAATGTACAGTTAATGGTATATGAATGTAAATTTATTCTAATTAAAGAGCAAGAGACAAGTTTCACAAGTTTCAACAAGTTTCAACAAGTGTTTAGACAAGTTTCAACAAGTAAATAAAAATATTAACATTTAAAATATAAGTTTTTTTTATAAAAAAAGACAGTTTTAAAAATGAAAGAGATAAAATAAAAAAAATTACCTTTCAGGTTTGAATAAATTTAAATTAAAAAAGTTCTTGGGATAATTAAAAAGATTTTTGTTCTGAATTAAAGCTGAAGTTTCTTTTAAAAAATTTTACTGTGCTTTTTAGTTTTTTTTTTTAATTTTTTTTTTTACAATTTCTCAAATATTTGTTCTAATGATATTTCTTTCAAACGCATCTTTTTTTTTTAAATTTGAAGTACATATTATTTATCATTAGATTGTTTCTAGTTAAACAATCTTTAGAAATAAAACACGACTTTTTTTTTCGATGATAAGAATTAAGGAGCGTTATTTGGTGTCATTGAATGGTTCACATTTCAGAAATATAAAAAAGTGAATTTCTATAAACTTGAATGATTTATTTTAGTTTTAAAGAAAATAATTTTATAAGGCAACATAAATCTTATTTGTATTTAGCTTAATTATATTTGTGCAAATTTTTCTATCCAGATATAATTAACGAATTTTCATTCATTCTTCTGAAATTCAATGTATGAAAATTTTGTTTTGAGAAAACTCACTAAGTCTGCGCAAAGCTATTAAATTGTGTCGCATTTATTTAAATTCCAATTCATTCGAAGAAGAATTTTTTTCTAAAGTGTAAATAAAAAAGTAATCTTTTAATTTATGAAATAAATATTGTAGCTATTTATACTTATGTATTGAATAATTTTTCTACAAGTACATTTTAACTATAGTAGAAATTGATAAGTATTGATTTGTATCATATAATTTAATTTCAAAGATCTAGACTTAGTTGTCACACAGAATTAGACACAAAACTCTTTTTTGTTAAAGCTCAGCAAATGTTTATTTAATTATGTTTATTTAAATGGTTTTTTTTTAGTTCAATCAAACCTTAACATTAGTTTAATAATTCGCATTTTAAGTATTTTATATAATTCTGTTATGGACTACTTTAATTTCAAAGAAATATAACCATTAAAAACCTATAGAACATGTGAATATCACAAAAATTTAAACTATAAAATTTAAAATTTGCATATACTTAGGATGAAAAATTTGAAAATTTTAATCCGATTGTAAAGTTAACTATTGCTAAATCATTAGACGTAAAATAATGAAAAATTAAATCAAAATATCTAACTTGAAATTAGTATGGTTAGTAATCAAAACTTCAACTATGCATTTAAAAACAGTTAAAAATTATATTTTTTTGGAGAAAAAAATGAAGGTAAATATTAAAATTCTTAATTTTTGTAAATCTAATAAAAATATGATGAAAACTGGGGAAAAATGTCTTTAAATGTGATTTTATTCGAGTTTCTAATTTGGCAAATAGTACTATAATTTATAATCGAAATTTTAATTATGTTTTAACATTAATTATATCTTGGTTTTGATTTAAAAAATGTGATGAAATGAGTGTGGTTTAAACTATTCTAACAACCATTTTGTATGTTCTTTTTAAAAAAAATAAATATATATAAATGAAACTGAGAAAAAACTCTCTCGGAACGTGTTTAGATCTTCCAATTCTATTAAGTGAGAAAAAAAGAATAATAAAAAATATTAAAATTTTTAATTTGAAAACTATTCTGATGAATAATTAAAATTTCTATTATCCATTGAAAAGTTAAACTAATTTTTGTATCAAAAAGTTTTGATAAAATGCTTGTGATTTTTAAATTATTCTTAAAATAATTTTGTTGCTCTTCTTCTAAAGAAAAATTTGAATGAACCTTCCAAAAAATAAAATCTAAATGCAATCAGATGTTCTAATCATATCACGGGTAAAAACAATTCTGGAAATAACAAAATTCTCAGTTTGGTAATTGCTTGAGTTTATAATAAAATTTTCAGTTATGCATTAAAAAAATAATTACAATTAGTTTTGATAAAAAATAGATGATAAACAGCTTTAAAGTTATTTTTTCAGTTTTTTTATTCTGACAGGAAAAAACTATGTAAAATTAGAAATTTCGTTGTTTAAACTCGTTTGGATCTTCCGAAATGTTCGTAAATTACTCTAGTTAACAATCGAAATTTCAATTATACATTAAAAAAAATTATTGCATGCAAGTTGATAAAAATAATTGCAAGTCATGCGATAAAAATTATTTTTAAAATTGATTTCCATTCAATGATCTAATGAAAACTGGCAATAGACACAAAAAAGAAAAAAAGAAAAAATCGTTTTATAAACGCGTTTAGGGTCGGGTTAAAAAAAATTTTTTTTCCTAAACGTGTTTAAGTTTTTGATGTTATCCATTATTTTTATCCTAATTTGGAAAATATTTTATGTAATGATGAAGATTTCAACAACCCAATAAAAAATAATTTGAAACTAGTTTTGATTTAAAAAAGTGCCAAAAAAAAACCAAACTATTCTTTAAAATATAATCCATTTTTTTTTAAAACGCAGAAAAGAAATCGTTTTCTTAACGCGTTCAGAACTTTCCAATCATGTATCACAATGTCTCATTTTACACTATACAGGGTGGGTGTCCATTCGAATGCAAAAACACCCCTCCGCACTTGTTGCCTGGGATGGTGTGCTCACCGAGGTCATTGAACTCAGAGACGAATCTTGTTTTTGATGGTATTCCTCTCCGAGAATTTTTTTCTTCTCCTCATTTATCCATTCATTCCCCTCCCTCCCCACCTCTACCGCTTTTGATCCGCAGACGAGTGTGCACACCATAGGGGAAGCTAAAGGAAAGTTATAATCTTTTTTCCCCCCTTTAATCTTAGTATTACTTTTTTATCCAACAAGTGCGTGGCAACAGTTCGAAAGTTGCCTCGAAATCTTTCTTCTTTCTATTATTTTTATTACAAATGAGGCTTTCTTTAGGGGTGCTAAGAGGCCCCAAGAATGATTTGGGGGTAGTTGATGTATCAAGGTCGACTGGTAGTTTTGGAAGGTTCATGGAATTTTTTACCTTCGAGAGTTGGAAATTTTTGTTGAAAAACTTTTTTTATCTTGTCATTGAAGTTCATTGCTCCGTGAAGATAGATTGAACATGGTTATGTCATTATTTTAAAATTCTGAGCGTTGAAGTACGTTTTGGTGGCATTGCGAAAGCCAAATATGAGCAGGACAACCACACATCAGTATTTCATAACAATTGCTGTAATGAACTCTCATGAACTCTTGTGGTCAAAATACCCTTATTCAACAGAATTGGTTCAACTTACATTTGACTTAATTTTGCAAATTACAAGGTTATGTCGAAATGTTTAACTTAAAGCTCCTGTCTTGTACATATGCAAATATGGATACGAAAACCACTTCTGTGTTTCATAATAATTGACTGTAACGAACTTTCCTGTCCTCTTGTTTTACAATGACTCTTGTCTTGAGAATTTGAGTAAAAATTGATTTAATTTGTATTTAAAAAAAATGACTAAGTTTTTCAAATTTTAACGTTACATTGTAAGGTTTAACGTTACGCATCTTATTTAGATACTTTGGCGTTAAGCATTTCATCACCATTTATTTCTAAATATGAATAGGTTAACCAGGTCGGTCTGTACTTAGCAACAATTGTAGAAAACTCTTATAGCTCTTATTTTAACGAATTGATGTTTGTTCAAATTACATTTAAAAATCGATTTGGCTTGGCGAATTCCAAGGTTATGTCATAATGTTTAACCTTAAGCTTTAACTTAATGTTAATTTTTAACTTTAAGGTTGTGTCATAATGTTTAACTTGCTTCGTTTACTCGGATACTTGACGTGGTAACTTGAGCATCAAGTACAGGCTTGGTGTTAAAGGATTTAAATTATATAAAAATGTGGCTTAGTTTTGCTAATGTAAATTAATGCATCCAAGAAAAAAAACACGTGTTTGGCAAGGTTTTAAAAAATAAAATTTACTTAATTTTTTTTTCTTTTTTACAAATTAGGAAACACTGTGGCTTAAGGTATCGATGAGTTTGAGTAGAGTATAGCAATTTTTTTAAGTTACATTTGTATTCTACTTCAATTGTACGATAATTTAACATATTTTGG